AGATATAAGAGAAGGGGAGAGAGATATAAGAGAAGGGGAGAGAGATATAAGAGAAGGGGAGAGAGATATAAGAGCAGGGGAGAGAGATATAAGAGAAGGAGAGAGAGATATAAGAGAAGGAGAGAAAGATATAAGAGAAGGGGAGAGAGATATAAGAGAAGGAATGGGGACCGGAGGGGAATAAATAGGGATCCTTCTGCGGCCTTTGTGCTTTAGGTCTGTGCTTCTACTAAGCTTGGACGTCGCCCTCTAATGGTGAGCCGACCAATCAGCCGATTCCATCCATTGTGCATCTGTGTTGCGTTCAAATAACAATAAGGAGCTTATAAATGACATCAAATCTTTAACGTTCCAAAATAAATTCTACGTTTCCAAAGTCTTTGGTGCACTGTGTAACAGTCCGTCATTGGAAGACCTGACATCTCCTTATGCTCTACAAGGAAGACACCACATTTGTGTTCCCCTCCTCCGCGTTCTCTCAACCAGCGAGTCCAATCAGATCCGCCATCTATATACATAGGACCGCCTTCTATCGCTATGGACACAATTCCAGCCGTTGCCGGGACGCCAGCCGGGGTACGTCTCCGCAATGTCAGTCACTCAGGCCGCAGGCTGAAACGCTGCTTGCTGGAAGAGAACAAAGTCAGGTTTGTGTTACTGCGACAATACTGAGATTGCAGCATGGCCACAGTGTATACAATGTATCTATATACCGGGGATCACTCCGCCGTCTGATGTCAGTGTATACAATGTATCTATATACCGGAGATCACTCCGCCGTCTGATGTCAGTGTATACAATGTATCTATATACCGGGGATCACTCCGCCGTCTGATGTCAGTGTATACAATGTATCTATATACCGGGGATCGATCCATCACCCATGTACATGAGCCCTAAATAAGCAATCTCCTCCCCTTCTTCCCTGCATGTGTGTGACATGGCGGAGGACGCATTGGGTCACATTGACCTCACATACGCGGTCCAGGCTAGACCAATCCGCCATTCTTATGGTTTTGGTCACATGACCTTCCTGTACATGACAGCAAAGTTGTGCGATTTGGTCCAAATCCTCCGTATTGGACAATCCTTTCCATCCCGTGTGTGTAGCGACCCCACCGGGAGACTCGACTCCCTCCCCCCCCCCCCCCCCAGGGCGAGGAAGCTCTTCATATGGTGAGGATTAAAACAGGAATGTGAAGCCATTCTAGAATTTGGGAATGTTTGGAAAACAAAAGAGTCAGAAAAGTCCGCGCCGCACAAAGCTTTCCTTATTCCGTCCTTTTGTCCGCGGTGATAACAGGTAACGGGGGCGGCCAATATCAGACACCTCGCTTTTCAGGAAAGTGCCCCAGATTGGCGTCTTCAGTGAGAAAAGGATTAATCTGAGAACGTCATTATCCCCTCCCCCCCCCCAACACCCCGGCCGCCGGGCCTGAGAGCCTCCATTGTCCGCCTCTTCCCCCTCTTCTAATTTATGGTAATCTATTTGTGCTGAAAGTGTCGAAGAATTCCTCTGACTGGCCAACAAAGTGTGAGAAGAGCCGGCCCGAGCTAAAGGAATTCTGCAGCCAGAGGAGGGAGACAATGTCCTGAATGTGAAAAAAATGGAGGCCAGGCGGCAACTAAATCCGGGTACATTTTACAAAGTGCAATTTGTACAATTCCCGTAATGTGCCGGAAATGGAACATTGTGTTTACATGCATGGAGCAGGACAAGGGGGGTGTTCTGGGTGGTTTAGGGGTGCGGAAAGTTTTTCATGGTTCCTGTGAATTTTTTATTTGTTTACATTTAATTACTGTTATTATCATTAACAACAAACTTCAAACATTGAGAGACCCCAGAATGAGGAGAAACAGGGGCAGCTATTAGGGTTAGTGCATTAGGGGTAGAGTCAGGGTCAAATTATAGCCTATGGGTTCATGTTCGTATTTGTGATAGGGTTAGGGCTAGTATTAGGGATCAGGTTAGTGTTAGTTTTGGGGAGAGGGTTATTGTTAAGGTTACTATCAGTATTAGGGATAAAGTTAGGGTTAGTGTATACTATTAGGGATAGGGTTAGGCAGAGGCGTCCCCAGGCGGGGTGACACCCAACAGTGACGTCATGGCGTACAATGTTACCTGCCGGCGGCCATCTTGGTGATGGACGCCGGCAGAGAGAGAGGAGGGGACAGTCACCCGGCGGGATAAGGTATGCCGCCGGGTTCTTTCCTCTCCCCAGCAACTGACGGGCTCTCAGTCCATGACCGAGTGCCCGGCTTTTCAGAGGGGGTGACACTAAAATGACTGTCAGTCATTTTCGTGTCACTCCTCCAATGGTGTCACCCGGGTGCGGGCCGCATCCCCCTTGTGACGCCACTGGGGTTAGGGTTAGTATTAGGCACTAAGTTGGGGCTATTAGGGTTAGTATCAAGTTAGTATTGGGGTCAGTGTTTGGAACATTCTCTGCATTCTAAAATTCAGAGGTCGCTCTGCTCATCCCGACTCATACAATTTGCATTTTTCCCCCCCGTTTTGTTTCCCCATTTCCTGGAAAGGTGGAGAGAAGAAGCTTGTGGTACTTTGTGGCGTTACCTGGCGGGTGCGGAAGGGACGGCGGGCCGCGTATTCTGATCCGTGAGGGCGCGGTACGGACCCCGTAGAAACATCCAGCACAGCACAGTGACACGACACCACATGACACCGCACTGCCACAACACGGCGACATGCAACGCACAACACCGACGCACGTCGTGCCCGCTGACTGACCTGGAGAGCTGGAGGCCGGACTCACCGTCAGCAGCACCTCCTGGTTGTCGGCCAGCGCCCGCTTGGCCAGGTACCGCTCCCGCTTCACTTTGATCTCCACCGACCCGGGGATGTCCGGGACCATCCAATCAATACAGCGCAGACTGAAGAACACCGCGTGCTGCGGGGGAGGGGAAGACGCAGACATGTCATACATGTGCACACCTCGTGCTTCAATGCCTGCAATGGGCGCCCACACACATCACACAATCCTGTGGGAAGATATCACATCCCAAATGTATTATTTTTTGTATTATTGGACAGTTTGTGGTGTTTTATGCAATAAGAATTTCCAATCTGTGACATCACTCCGATACGACGAGAAGGTTAGTTTTGCCTTTTCTGATCAAACTGCAACAATGTTACGATGAGGACTCAGCGTCCACTTTGTATTACCCAGAACGCCAAGTGGTCCCGCTCCTTCAGCTTCCAGTTCCTTTGCTCCCATCATGCTTTGCTCCTCCCCTCTCCGGTCTCAGATCATAAACCTGTTTTCGGCATCCGTATGGACTCACCTCAAAGGCAATGATGAATCCCAACCGGACGGCCAGAAGCTTCCAGTAGAAGAGGCTGTATCTGCCGTCCTCGTCCCGGAAGGCTTTGTACCTGCGGGGTACACAGAGACCGGGTGAGACTGACCCCCGGGGTGTCCCCCGATTCCCCCAAACCCTACATACAGCAAGCCTGAAACAATATAATAATCCGGCCACTCGGTGTATATAATAATCCGGCCACTCAGTGTATATAATAATCCGGCCACTCAGTGTATATAATAATCCGGCAATCTCTGCCAGGTTCTATCCCCTTCGGTTGGAGTTGGCCTTTTAGTCTTGCACGGGTGATATAAGCCATGCCTTGGGATGGATAGTGACTATGGGGGGGAGGAGTCTCATAGGAGGACCTGCCGGGGGTAGGACCGGAGTCGGGAAACTCATCCTGAATGGTTCAGTCCAGGATGGGCCGCTGTCTTCGGGCCGCTCATCCCCGGAGACTGCCCACCTGTGGCCGTGTGTCCTACACTCCCCTATTCACAAACAGACGCCGCATGCGAGGAATGGCGGCCGCTCACCTGCACAGGGTGTGATTGGCGGACACGTAGCTATGCGGGGAGTAGGACAGGGTGAAGTTCAGGTAGCCGTCCAGGTTGCCGTCGTATTCGTACTGGTAGAGGAGCCGCGGAAGGAAGTCGGAGGTGAAGGCAATGAGGAAAGCCTGCAACGAGCAGAGACATTGTGACTCCCCCTATTCCTCTCGCACATACAATGAATGAATGGCCTGGACTAGAATATAATACAATGTATATGAGCCGGGTCCCTTTATATACATCTGATCTGGGGGAGGGGCAGTTGTAGGGAGGGGTAAAGGGATACGGCTCCGAGGAAGGGTTTGCCCCTCTCACGTTGACAATGACGGAGAGCTGGGCCAGAGCCTCCAGGATATGGAACCAGACGCCGATGTGCTGAGCCCGCTCCGCCACGGGCCGCCGATATTCGCGCACAAACTTCTGGGCGTCCAGGCGAATCTCCACCCAGTTATTGAGCAGAGCGAAAAGCGGAGCCAGCGGGAACGCAGCCACGAAGATGGTGATGAAGCCAAACTGGATGACTAAGAGAAGAGAGAGTTCAGGATAGTAGAGGCCACGGGGTAGCCAAACTCCGGCCCTCCGGCTGTGGGGTGAAACTACAAATCCCATGATGCATCTCTCTCCCGGGAGTCATGTCTGTGGCTGCGAGAATCTCGCAATGCCTCATGGGATTTGTAGTTGCACCCACAGCTGGAGGGCCGGAGTTTGGCTACCCCTGGTATAGGCGGTGTACCACGACCCCCTCCCACCTGTACAGTATATCATCGCTCCCTCTACTCAGCAAGCACCCCAAACACAACATACACCCAGACTATGCAATCACAAGGCCGGTCTCAGTGGGAATATCCTCAGTCACTCTTATGATTGAACTCTGATCCCCTCACATGGAAGGATCATTAGCTCTGGTGTTCACAAACCCCCCCAAACGTAAGATAATATGGTGGGGTCCATAAATGCCAATATCAGAAACCATTTTCTGTGCAGCCCCATCGCTGGAGCAGCCACTAGACACCTGCCTTACATCTGGGCTGCGGCTATTTCTTTTGGTTCATTATTTAGATTCCGTAGGTATGGAAAGCTCATATTGACCCCCAGCAGGTCACTCACCCATCTCCAGGTATTCCTCGAAGAGCCCCTCACACTCAATGAGTTCATAATCTTCCTCCCATAGTTGGGGTTCCTCGGAGATCTGCGTCCCGCGAACCTTGGCCAGCTGCCGCCTCTGCCGCCATGACTTCAACTTTCTGCCGGACAAAAGCAGCAGGTGATTGGCTGGGCATGTTTCATGTTATCCCCCTTAGATCTCTCCAGGTGATGTCGGGCCGGACGACAAGGATCAATAAGAAGTCAACAAGTTGGCTCAACGTAGAAGAAGAAATGCCAACTGCCTCCTCTGGTGACCATTGTCCAAATCTAGGCCAGGCACCATCTCACACCATGGATCGGGATTGTCATTTTCCTCACCAAATCATGACTTTTTGTTTGATGGCTTCTGATGAATGTCCACTTCCGAAGACCTGAAGACTTTATTTTTGGAGAAGTCAACATAGGATTCCCCTTTCAGGCGTGCAGATACAGAGAACCCCTCTGACCGATGATTTCTGGTCTTCCGGTCAAGGGGAATTTGGAAATCTTGGCTTTGGTGCCCTTGTCTACGGCAGACGTGTCTCCTAGCTTTTGACTGGTTCCTTACCCCGCAATGTCCCATATGAAATAACTCAAACCCCCGCAAACTCATTCTAGAGCAGTGCTTCTCAACCTTTCTAGGGCTGGGACCCCTTGGTAACACGTGGTGACCCCCAACCGTAAAATTTAGGGATGCACCAAAACTAGTATCTGTGTGGGCTCTCGGGTGGCTAGTGGGACTCTCTGTGGTGCCCAGTGCGGGCTCTGTGGTGCCCAGTGCGGGCTCTGTGGTGCCCAGTGCGGGCTCTGTGGTGCCCAGTGCGGGCTCAGTGGTGCCCAGTGCGGGCTCTGTGGTGCCCAGTGCGGGCTCTTGGTGCCCAGTGCGGGCTCTGTGGTGCCCAAGCACTTACCTCCCCCTCACTCCTGCCTGCTCCCCTCTCTCTGATCCTCTCGGGTCGCTGATGCTGCAGCACCATCTAGGAGAACTGACACTGCCGTGCTAGGAGGAGGCCGAGGAGCCTCTTACCTAGAGCAGCACAAGGCACATGGGGACTCCCTCAACTGTGGGTCGCGACCCACTGTTCTAGAGGAAAGAACCATCCTTCAGCGGCCCAAACATGCATCTCCTTCTATATTGTACCGAACATTATCTCTTGTTTGAGGAGCCGACCTAAGATTCCTCTTCAGGCTTGCAGATACAAAGAACCTATTTCACTATTTCCGTCTCACAGTCAAGAGGAACTTAAAAATGTTGGCTTTAGTGCCATTGGTTCTAGCTGAAGTGTCTTGGTTCTGGAGGAAGGGGCCATGCTTCACGGGCTCAGTCATAACTTCTTCACCTACACCGTATACAACGTTATTTCTTGTCTTTGACAGACTTGTAGCTCCACCTCTCATCTCTATAATCACCGAGGCTGACCTAATTATCACTGTTAAAGGAGAACTATGGGGGTCAGGGCTTTCCCCCATAGTTCTCCTAAGGGTAACGGGAGGACGCAAACTAGCGTCCTCCCGTCACACTAAGCTCAGTATATAGGGAGCTACAGCTCGCGGTATACTGAGACGCCGGAGCAAGAGCGGATCCCGTCTGGATCCGCCCAGCTGCGTGAGTGACAGCTGGCTCTGCCAATCTAGAGGCAGAGCCAGCTGTACCCGCCCCCTCCCCCGTCCGTTCCGCCAGTCAGCGCTGGAGGATCAGACAGGGGAGGGAAATCCGTGCAGGGAGTGGTGAGTGACAGTCAGGGCTCTCTGCACGGATAGATCGAGATGTGAGCAAACGCCGGTATGTGTTCGCTCACTTCCCGATCTACTGAGCCGACCTGTGACAGTCTCATTGTCACAGGTCGGCCCAGATTATGAGGCTGAGTGAAAATCCCCCCCCTCATACATCAATGTACATTATTCGCCTGACTTACGGGATCAGAATCTCCTGGATGTTGCTGACAATCTGCTTGCCCACCATTATAATGAAAAGTTGCTGGGCCAGTTCTATGAGGCAGCCTCCTGGACCGCACTGTAGGGAGACATAAAAGAGAATGGACTCAGCAACTGATTCTCTCACAAGATGTAAAACCTCCACATACTGTATGAGGGAGGATGACCACTGGTGAGGAACCAGCCATATGGTCTTACAACGTTTATAGTGGGCCTCCCCACATCACAGGATTGGACATTCAAAGCATTCTAAATACCCGCTAGAAGCAGTGAAAGAAAGATGGGGATCATTGCATTGGAAATTCCAGTTCTATTAAGATAAAGTTCTAATATATTATAGATACACGTGCAGGGCCTAACGTAAGTCAACACCCTCACCAAATGATTGAGTTCAGATGTCTCCGGTGAAGGTCCTGCTAATGCCACAACATACAAAGCCGGCTCCATACAGACACGGTGTGACCAGTTTGGTGGAGACCCTTTTCTGTTCCACCATGATGGTCCCCTGTGGACAAAGCCAGCTCCATACAGACACGGTGTGACCAGTTTGGTGGAGACCCTTTTCTGTTCCACCATGATGGTCCCCTGTGGACAAAGCAGCTCCATAATGACATGGTGTGACCAGTTTGGTGGAGACCCTTTTCTGTTCCACCATGATGGTCCCCTGTGGACAAAGCCAGCTCCATACAGACACGGTGTGACCAGTTTGGTGGAGACCCTTTTCTGTTCTACCATGATGGTCCCCTGTGGACAAAGCAGCTCCATA